TCTAGTTTCACACAGAGAATAACGTTCAATACATCTAGTTTTACACGAAACTAGATGTATTGAACGTTATTCTCTACACAGAGGATAACGTTCAATACATCTAGTTTCACACAGAGGATAACGTTCAATACATCTAGTTTCACACAGAGGATAACGTTCAATACATCTAATTCTCTGTGTGAAACTAGATGTATTGAACGTTATCCTCTGTGTAAAACTAGATGTATTGAACGTTATTCCTCTGTGTGAAACTAGATGTATTGAACGCTTATCCTCTGTGTGAAACTAGATGTATTGAACGTTATCCTCTGTGTAAAACTAGATGTAGGATAACGTTCAATACATCTAGTTTCACACAGAGGATAACGTTCAATACATCTAGTTTCACACAGAGAATAACGTTCAATATATCTAATACATCTAGTTTCACACAGAGAATAACGTTCAACATATCCTGTTTTACAAAGAGAATAACGTTCAATACATCTAATACACCTAGTTTCACACAGAGAATAACGTTCAACATATCCTGTTTTACAAAGAGAATAACGTTCCTATATACATAGGAACGTTTTTCTTTAAAGGTAAAAATATGTACTCGTATTCATTCATATGTATACAACAGATTTTGAGCGGCGCTAGTGACTGTTATACAAAACAAATGCTAAGTCTATTAAAACTCTAACCTGGTGGAGTTTATAAGGTAGGTGCATGTTAAATTAGTTTGATTTGATTACACACAATCATAAAGAAATTAAAGACATTTTAAGTTTATTGAAGTGGTTTGGTTTGTTTGGAATTTCGCGCAAAGCTACACGAGGGCTATCTGCGCTAGCCGTTCCTAATTTAACAGTGAAAGACCAGAGGGAAGGAAGCTAGTCATCACCACCAACCTCCAACTCTTGGGCTATTTTTTTTTCTCAAACGAATACTGTGATTAACCGTTACACTATAACGCCCCCGCGGCTGAAAGGGTGAGCATGTTCGGTGACGGGAGTTCGAACCCGTGACACTTGGATTGCGAGTCGAGCGCCCTAACCACCAGGCTGAGCCAGGTCCCATTAAGTGTTAATAAGCAAGAATTCGCTGTTTAGTTTTAGATCATAAAAGTGGTTATAAGACTAATTGGGTAGGAATATAAATGGATCTGACTAATTATGTTGGGTTTTTTACCCTATGTGTATCAGATGCAACCAACAGGCCTCATAGTCTCTTCTAACCACCACCACTTCCAAAAAAAAAGGGGGGGGGGCTTGCCTTACAATGATAGAAAAGTGTCCTTTTTTGTTGATAAGCTCCTCCTCTTTTACTGTCATCTGCACGACACTGAAATTTAGGTATATTAGCCTCAGTCTTTGAAATGTCAGGTTTAACTCTGGAGTTGGTTATCCTGTATATGAATTAAATAAAAACTTCCTTAAGCAATAGTTATATCAAATCTTTCTCTCATCCTCGAAAACACCCACACCCATCATAAAGAACAGCCACGTACACGATAAATAAACTGCATAGGTCACGTGTTAGCCTCGTAGACGTGTTAATCTATATATATATGTGACTTGGCTTGATTGTTTTATGAAGACAAAATTTACCATTAGGTGTTATGCTATTGATAAAAATCGTACAGTAAAATCCTTGATTGTTTTATGAAGACAAAATTTACCATTAGGTGTTATGCTATTAATAAAAATCGTACAGTAAAATCCTTGATTGTTTTATGAAGACAAAATTTACCATTAGGTGTAATGCTATTGATAAAAATCGTACAGTAAAATCCTTGATTGTTTTACTCATTCTTCTTAATTAATGTATTAGGGATTTCAAATCCGAGCCGTGTAAAAATGGATAGACGCTTGTCTACCATCTCATCCACCACACCTTAAGAATTCTGGTACTGAACAAAAGGCCGTCTCGGCAGTAACTGTGGCAGATAGAGGGATGATTGGGTGAGGACTAGCACTGTAGTAGCGCTCTGTATTTCAGAGTTGGCGAGCTAGGTTCGAACCCGTGCGTACCATAGTATTTCACCGCACTTGACACATGAGTATAAGAGTGACAGTCAATCGCTTAGCATGGATGGTGGGTTATTGTTGTTTTAAACTCATAACGAAGTCAAATTAATATGTAGAATTATACACGGACTTTTCTCTACGTTAAAATATTAGGTCGTCAATAAATTAATGTCGCTATTTTTTAGATGAAAAAACCCGAACAACTTATATATCTAAACAAAACATTTATTAATTGAAATAGTCTACATTCTTATCGATGATGCTTTTCCATCTTACAATCAGGTTGTTAATACCATGAAGCAAATGATTTGAAGCAAAAAACATGTCAGTGTCCTCTTTAACA